ACGCACACACACACACACACATGTGCTTGTTTTTTACGTAGAATGGATTGCCAGAATTGTTTTCGTTCCCTGAGACTGACACAATTGCTGGTCTGTTGTTCGCTTGGGGAGGACGAATTCTCGGGGGGCCACCCCACAATCCCGGGCTTACGACCGAGTTTTCCCACGCCCTTTTGGGAAAGCCTTCGGTACTTGGCTGAGCCGAGGCTGGTTTCCTCGTGACGCAGCCCGCCCACGCGAATGTTTTTTGGGATGTGCGCCTGGCTATGGTTCGACGCATGTTCGCCGCGTTTCCCGCCATGTTTCTCTGGTTAGCGTTGTTGTCATACAGCTGAAGAGATTCCTAACATGAAATCATGAGAAACATGGCTGTTTGAGGGATCTCCTGTCAGTCAGCATTTCCTGGTCTCATGTTGCTGTTTCATCCCCTGTCCACATTTTCACCCCCCCCTCCAAGGAGATTCCTAGCATCAGCCCCTGTGCCAGGAGATCTTCCCGTACTCGGTGACCATCTCCTTTGCCATCATTTGGGGCTGCGGCCTGAGCGAAAGTCGAGGGCAGGGAAGGTAAGGGGGGGAAGGAGAGGCATGAGCTGGGGACGAATGAGGCGAAACAGCTCAGGAGTTGCCTTTCTCTTTTTCCATGACGCTGCCGCATCCTGCAGGCATCATCTTGGGATTTGTGCTGCTGCGTCTTCAAGAGGCGGGAGAAATCCCATTCGTCGCTGAGCCTAGCGACGGGGCTTTTGCAACGCCGCAGGCATTCCCAGAGTGAGGGTTGGCCATGGCCCTGGAGAATCTCAAGCGTGGCAGCTTGGCGCTTGAGCTGAGGCATTGTGACTGGACCGGCTATGTTTTCAGAGCTAAAAAGAGGGCGCTGATTTTTTTCCTTTTTTTTTTTGTTCTCTCTCTTTTCCGTCTTGCGATCCGCCGGTGTCTCTCGTCTTTTTGCGCTGGCGATGGGCGGATTCGCCATGTGCCATGTGCCGTGGGCAGGCGCATGGCGTCGCGGCGTCGCGGGGGCCTGAGATTTGCCGAGTGCCCGCGCCTTGAGGGCTTTGGAGCGTGTGCCTTCTGTTGAGGTACCCTTTTCACCTTAGTCAAAAGGAGCACCGAAGTTGTGGGCCCGATCTCAGGTGATCTCTTTTGATCTGTTGCAGCCATTGCGCGTCAGATCGCATGCACCAGCCGCCTCAACCAGCTTGCAAAGCACCCCGCTACTCGTCAAAGAGCCGATGCGACTCGCTTGTCCCATGTCAAGGGAGTGAGCCACGAGCTCGCGTGAAGCATCCGAAGTCCTGCCAACGTGTGGGACCGCTGGCCTCATGTCGCCATGGCCTTCCTGTGCCTTGCTCAGCATGTTGGCGACAATGATGGGGGAACCCCGTCCCAAATGGACAGAACTATCCTGACGTCTGGGGGTCCAGCGACTCAAAGTTCACGCCCATTTCGCTTTTGGGTCTATTTGGAAGAAACTGGTAAGGCACAGAGAGGCGGCATCGGACTTGCTGCACGAGGACAGGAAGGTTTTGCCGAAACGTGGATGATGTATGGCCTCCGTTGGTGCCTTTGGGATGTTTTCCCCAGGGGATGAAGCCAGGGACATCAGTGGGGTTGGTCAATTTCAGCGGTGTGAGAAATACTTGAGCATTTCAGCACAGGATTCTGGACATGCAGGATGGACAGACGCAGCACCAAGGCACGTTTAGTATCATTAATTTGGGTCAGCCGCTTGCTGTTTGTGATTTGTTCGATTCCCAAGTCTCGGAGTCTGCTCAGTGGTGCGTAGGTTTGTGCCCGGGGCTTTGTCAAAACCAGGGGACATGTTCTGTGACTTGGATACAGGTTGCGGCGCCCGGAGGCAGGTCTTCTAGCTGCGTCACTTTCGAGCTGGCTGGCAGTTGTGCTGATGAGCATTCTCGGGTGTGTAAAAGTGTCCCTTTTTTAACATCAGATTGGGCTAACTTCTTGTCTTTCGAGAATCAGAGGCAACATCAGAAAGAAACACAACACGTCGCGTTCGCGTCTCATCATGGAATTGCGTATCTTTTTTGTTTTCCAGCTTCGTTTTTTCAACGTTCGAAGCGGCTTTAGTGTTTTTTTCCACATCTTTTGGGTGGGGCTGGCAGAAACTGGTTTTTGGTCGCAGCCACTTTGGCTTCAAAGATGAGCGAGGAGGAGCCGATTGCAAGTGGGGACTTGCGGACCCGCATCATTGTCGCTTGGTCTGCATGGCCGGGCACGGCGAAGGTATGTATGAGGTTAACCTACGCGCAGGTGGTGAGCTGTGTTGTGGCCCACGCCTTCTGGCAGGTGGGGCCCGTCTATAAGGACAGCAACAACGATGAGCTCCAACTTTTCGAACTCGTCCGCTACATCTTGGTGATTCCTTTGGTCCTGGTCTCCCTTTACCAATTCTCTGAAATGTTATCTTCTCGACCGAGGCACCGGGCCTTGGTGATCACACGTGTGTCGATGTTTGAGTTCGGGGTGAAGATCACCTACTACAGTCTGCTCTCCACTGGATACGACTTGGCGTATCAGAATCAGCGGTGCTACGACTACCGGCCCATCTATGTCACGCGCTGGATAGGCTGGACCTTTGCCATTCCCACCTTGGTCTTCATGAATTTGTACCCTATCATGGACCACCAGCATGCGCTGGAGGTGCTGGTGCGGCTTTTGCCTCAGCAGCTGGCGACCGCAGCGTATTGCTGGGCATGCTGCCTGGGCTGCATTGTCTTGGACCCGTGGATGGGTTGGTACCTGAATGTGCTGGGGTGTGTTGCCTATGTCGCCGTCATCGCAGATGAGGTGGTCTTTGTCTGTGAGCAAATCATGGTGACTGCCCAGCCGGTGCTGAAAGGCTACAGCATCATCGTCAAAGAATGCATTTTCGTGATCTACACAGGGGTTTGGCTGCTGGGCAACTGGGGCTATGCCACCTCCTACTCTTGCCAGCGCTTCTACAGCGTGTCTGATGTCAGCCTCAAATCCGTCATGGCAACGTTGTTGTTCTTCTACTGGAATGTGGATAGACCTGAAAAGGTCGTCAAGGCTAGTTGATCAGTGATCCTGGCTCGATTCGCCGTGTCGCCTCGGATACCCAGATGCGATCGAAAACCCACGACCGGCTTTCCTAAATTGGACTCTTAAGCCATGACTCAGCTGAAAAATCGATTCAGGCAAGGTCACCACTGGAGGACGTCATGGAGTGGATGAGCCTGGCAGACCTGGACCAGGACATGTTTTTTTCTTTTCGCCGCGCAGAATCGCAGGAAAGTGAGCGCACAGGAGTACGACCCCTTCCCTCGAGGCAAGGCCGTGCCCAGTCTGCCCCGACTCTTGGCATCCATTTTCACCGTTCACCGTTTGCCTCCGTTTGCGACCTACTTTGTGCACCAGGGGCTTTCTGGGTTTTGACCCACAGCCACCTCTCCGGAGCGAGGGAATTTTTGGGCTGAGGAGCGGGAAAGGAGAGCTACTGCACCTTCGCAGCCGGCGAGGCGCGCGGGGGGCAAGATATGAGCCAAAGGCTGGCCTGAAGCCACAGGGCTCCTTAAAAGATACAGCTTGCCCATTTGAACCATGGCTTTTTCCACCAGAATAAAGGGAAACCACCACTCACAAGGCAATGTCAAGGTGTATAATGTAAGGATCCCTGAGCCACTTCTCGGCTACCGGGCCTTGCAGCTCCTGGGTATCACTCACGGTGACGGTGCAGCTTTGTTCATGGGGATCTACGCCTCTATGTGTAAAGGGTGTTGCATGACAAGTGTGGCATAGGCAGGTAGGCGGTTGCTTTTTCTGTTTTGGCGCCGTTTTGGTTGCTTTTTCTGCTTTCAGTGCCGAAGCCGCTTCCCAGCGGGCACTAGACGAGCACTAGACGGGCACTAGACGAGCGCTAGACGAGCACTAGACCACTAGACGGGCACTAGACGAGCACTAGACGGGCGCTAGACGAGCACGAGACGGGCACTAGACGAGCACTAGACGAGCACTAGACGAGCACTAGACGGGCACTAGACGGGCACTAGACGGGCACTAGACAAACACTAGACGGGCACTAGATGGGCCCTAGACGAGCACTAGACGGGCACTAGACGAGCACTAGACGGGCACTAGACGAGCGCTAGACGAGCACTAGACGGGCACTAGACGAGCACTAGACTAGACGGGCACTAGACGAGCACTAGACGGGCGCTAGACAAGCACTAGACGGGCACTAGACGAGCACTAGACGGGCACTAGACGAGCACTTAGACGGGCACTCTACCATCACTACACGGGCATAGGACGGCACTAGACGGGCACTAGACGAGCACTAGACGAGCGCTATACGAGCACTAGACGGGCACAGACGAGCACTAGACGGCACTAGACGAGCACTACAGACGAGCACTAGACGAGCACTAGACGGGCACTAGACAAGCGCTAGACGGGCACTAGACGAGCACTAGACGAGAACGAGACACTAGACAGAGCACTAGACGAGAACGAGACACTAGACAGAGCACTAGACGAGCACTAGACGGGCACTAGGGCACGAGCGCTAGACGAGCACGAGCACTAGACGGCACTAGACGAGCGCTAGACGAGCACTAGACACGCTAGACGGGCACTAGACGAGCACTAGACGAGCACTAGACGAGCACCAGACGGGCACTAGACGAGCACTAGACGGGCACTAGGCGAGCACTGGACGAGCACTGGACGAGCACTAGACGGGCACCAGACGAGCGCTAGACGGGCACTAGACGGGCACTAGACGAGCGCTAGACGGGCACAGACGAGAACCAGACGAGCACTGGACGAGCACTAGACGAGCACTAGACACTAGACAGCGCTAGACGAGCACTAGACGAGCGCTAGACGGGCACTAGACGAGCACTAGACGAGCACTAGACGAGCACCAGACGGGCACTAGACGAGCACTAGACGAGCACTAGACGGGCACCAGACGAGCACTAGACGGGCACTAGACGGGCACTAGACGAGCGCTAGACGGGCACAGACGAGAACCAGACGAGCACTGGACGAGCACTAGACGAGCACTAGACACTAGACAGAGCGCTAGACGAGCACTAGACGAGCGCTAGACGGGCACTAGACGGGCACTAGACGAGCACTAGACGAGCACTAGACGAGCGCTAGACGGGCACAGACGAGAACCAGACGAGCACTGGACGAGCACTAGACGAGCACTAGACACTAGACAGAGCGCTAGACGAGCGCTAGACGAGCGCTAGACGGGCACTAGACGAGCACTAGACGAGCGCTAGACGAGCACCAGACGGGCACTAGACGAGCACTAGACGAGCGCTAGACGGGCACCAGACGAGCGCTAGACGGGCACTAGACGGGCACTAGACGAGCGCTAGACGGGCACAGACGAGAACCAGACGAGCACTGGACGAGCGCTAGACGGGCACTAGACGAGCACTAGACGAGCACTAGACGAGCACCAGACGGGCACTAGACGGGCACTAGACGAGCACTAGACGGGCGCCAGACGAGCACTAGACGGGCACTAGACGGGCACTAGACGGGCACTAGACGAGCGCTAGACGGGCACAGACGAGAACCAGACGAGCGCTGGACGAGCACTAGACGAGCACTAGACACTAGACAGAGCGCTAGACGAGCACTAGACGAGCGCTAGACGGGCACTAGACGAGCGCTGGACGAGCACTAGACGAGCACGAGACGGGCACTAGACGGGCACTAGACGAGCACTAGACGAGACACTACACAGAGACAAGCGCTAGACAAGAGGCTGTAGGAGGGCACAGCCCCGAAAAATTTCGGGGGATAGAAGAGCACTAGACGGGCGCTGGACGGAGCACTAGACGAGCACTAGATGGAGCACTAGACGAGCGCTAGACGAGCGCCAGACGAGCACTAGACAAGCGCTAGTGCTTGTCTAGTGCTCGTTTAGTGCCCGTCAATTTCCAGGCCAGGCCCAAAATGTTCTTTTTGGAGCTCCAAATTGCCAACTCTCTCCGTTTCAGCAAAAATGTGAAATTTTTATATAAACTCTAGTAAAGAACGGTCATTTCCAGGGCCAGCTGTAAAATGTCGCTTCTGGAGCTCCAAATCACAAATTCTTTGCATTTAAGCCAAGTTTGAGCAAAATGTATCATTTTTGATATAAACTCTTGCCATTTCCATGGCCGGCTCCAAAATGTCGCTGTTGGAGCACCAAATGGGAACTTCTCTACATTTGAGCCAAAATGTGCCCTGAATCCTAAACCTAAAAACTATAAACCTAAATCCTAAACCTAAAATCCTAAGCCTAAATCCGAAACCTAAACCCTAAACCTAAACTCCTATATCTAAAAACCCTAAGCCTAAATCCTAAACCTACACCGAACCTAAATCCTGAACCCAAATCCTAGACCTAAATCCGTGGCCTCTCAAAGGCACCCCGCCAGCAGGAACCCTAAAAGACCCGCCAGCAATAACCCTAAACGGCGCCCCGCCAGCAGGAACCCGGAAAGACATCCCCCCAGCAGGAACCCTAAAAGGAATCCCGCCAGCAGGAACACTAAAAGGCGCCAACCCTAAACCTAAATCCTAAACCTAAAAACCCTAAGCTTAAATCCTAGACTAAATCCTAAACCAGACGGGCACTAGACGAGCGCTAGACGGGCACTAGACAAGCACTAGACGGGCCCTAGACGAGCACTAGACGGGCACTAGACGAGCACTAGACGGGCACTAGACGGGCGCTAGACGAGCGCCAGACGGGCACTAGACGAGCAGACGGGCACTAGACGAGCACTAGACGGGCACTAGACGAGCACAGACGAGCATTGGACGGGCGCTAGACCAGCGCTAGAGGAGCACTAGACGAGCATTGGACGAGCACTGGACGAGCACTGGACGAGGGCACAACCCCGGAAATTTCCGGAAAATTTCCGGGGATAGAAGAGCACTAGACGAGCACTAGACGGGCACTAGACGAGCACTAGATGGACACTAGACGAGCACTAGACGGGGACGAGCACTAGACGAGCACTAGACGAGCACTAGACGGGCACTAGACGAGCACTAGACGAGCACTAGACGAGCACTGGACGGGCACTAGACGAGCACTGGACGAGCACTAGACAAGAACTAGACTAGACAGAGCGCTAGACGAGCGCTAGACGAGCACTAGACGGGCACTAGACGAGCGCTAGACGAGCACTAGACGAGCGCCAGACGGGCACTAGACGAGCACTAGACGAGCGCTAGACGGGCACTAGACGAGCACTAGACGGGCGCTAGACAAGCACTAGACGAGAACGAGACACTACACAGAGCACTAGACGAGCACTAGACGAGCACTAGACGGGCACTAGACGAGCGCTAGACGGGCGCTAGACGAGCACTAGGGCACTAGACGAGCGCTAGACGGGCACCAGACGAGCACTAGACGAGCACTAGACGAGCACTAGACGAGCACTAAACGAACACTAGACGGGCTAGACGAGCACTAGACGAGCACTACACGAGCACTAGACGAGCACTAGACGGGCATTAGACGAGCGCTAGACGGGCACTAGACGAGCGCTAGACGAGCACTAGACGAGCGCTAGACGGGGACGAGCGGTAGACGAGCACTAGACGAGCGCTAGACGAGCACCACTAGACGAGCACTAGACGGGCACTAGACGAGCACTAGACGGGCGCTAGACGAGCGCTAGACGGGCACAGACGAGCACCAGACGGGCGCTAGACGAGCACTAGACGGGAACTAGACGAGCGCTAAACGAGCACTAGACGAGAACTAGACACTAGACAGAGCGCTAGACGAGCACTAGACGAGCGCTAGACGAGCGCTAGACGGGCACTAGACGCGCTAGACGAGCGCTAGACGAGCGCTAGACGGCACTAGACGAGCACTGGACGGGCGCTAGACGAGCACAGACGAGCATTGGACGGGCGCTAGACGAGCACTAGACGAGCACTGGACGAGCGCCAGAAGGCTCTAGGGAGGGCACAACCCCGGAAATTTTCGGAAAATTTCCGGGGATAGAAGAGCACTAGACGGGCGCTGGACGGAGCACTAGACGAGCACTAGATGGAGCACTAGACGAGCGCTAGACGAGCGCTAGACGAGCACCAGACGAGCACGAGACAAGCACTAGACAAGACGCTCTAGGAGGACAGCCCCGAAAAATTTCGGGGATAGAAGAGCACTAGACGGGCGCTGGACGGAGCGCTAGACGAGCACTAGACAAGCACTAGACAAGACCCGCAGCAATAACCCTAAACGGCGCCCCGCCAGCAGGAACCCGGAAAGACATCCCCCCAGGAACCCTAAAAGGAATCCCGCCAGCAGGAACACTAAAAGGCGCCAACCCTAAACCTAAATCCGAAACCTAAAAACCCGAAGCCTAAATCCTAGACTAAATCCTAAACCAGACGGGCACTAGACGAGCGCTAGACGGGCGCTAGACGAGCGCTAGACGGGCACTAGACCAGCACTAGACGGGCAGTAGACAAGCGCTAGACGGGC